TATGCTGTTGTTGTTGGTGCTGTTGTTAAGTGCCGTCAAGTCGTAGGCAACTCATAGAGACCCTATGAACAGAAGTCCTGGACACTGTTATAACTTTCATCCTTTCTCCAAGATTCCTGGGTACTTGAGTTTAATTGGTCTGGGCTGGGGCTCAGTAGTCAGTATCTTAGCAATGCACATGTGTTGATGTTTCATGATTTGGGAGCCACATTATATACACCCTGTAATTAAAACTTGGACTCAAGGCAGGGGAGAAATCAGAAAACTCGGGAATTAGCTCATAATCACCACTGATGTTGTCTAAATTAATTCCTGATTAACAGGTGGAAGAAATAGACAGCAGAACAGAAATCGATTACATGAGAACTGGGTAGTTGGGAGCTTGGAACAAAATCCAAGAACCCAGCCTTCTCCTCTCCCACCACCCCCATCTGTCTGGCCTCCCCATCACATTTCTTTATTCTCAATGGTGCCATGTTATCTTTTCAAAACACAAAGGAAATATCTCTCCCCTCTGTACACCTCCCACAAAAATCTACCCCTGGTGAACTTTGGAGAAATCTGCTAACAGCTCTGTCAGAAGACCCCACAAAGCTAAAAGCATCCTTTGAGGCTTTGATGTCTGACAGGATGTGTCCTCTGAAAGCTCAGAGATGGCCCTGTTATTTCCTCTGATAGGCCAGTGAACGCTCCACAATGCCAAGTGGGGACCCTGCGCAGGACCCAAAGTGTGATTCCTAGAGACGAGACATGTACCTGCCCGGTGGGAGTACTGATGTCACCCGATCCCGGCAGGCACCAGGCCCCTGGAGTCTACTCTCCATCTCCCCGTATGCCTCATTAGGGAGGTCAATAGCCAAGACATTTCCCTTGTCCTGATGGTCTGAGAAGTGCTGTGACAAAGTGAGTTAGGTGTTGAGCTACTCACTGAAAGGACAAATTCACCACCCACTTTGTGTCTGTAAAACCTCTGAAACCCTCAGGGGCACTTCTGCTGAGTCCTGTGTGGTCACTATGAGTTGAAATGACTGAACAACAGTGGATTGGGATTGGACCAACCAATCAGAATGTCAGCATCTGTGAAAACAACAAAACACCAGCCATAGCTGACTTCTGCCAACTCCACAGGAGACTGTCCCATCAACAGCATCCACAATGCAAACCCAATGCCCACAAGGTCATATATGACCCCCACATTCCCATGCCTATTTTTAATTCCAGCAAGTAGGGACCAGTCCTTGGAGAAGGACATCATGCTTGGAAGGATGGAGGGACAGCACAGAAGAGGAAGACCCTCTATGACGTGAATTGAGTCAGTGACTGGGATAATGGGGGTAGGTGTGTTGGAGACAGTGCGATTGGCACAGGACAGAGCAAGCAGAGTTTATGGCTGTTGCACATAGGGTCGCTATGAGTCACAGGCGACTCAACGGCACATAAAAACAACAACCAATCCTACTGCCCTACTGGGTCCAAAGTCCATTGCACAAGCTACACAGACCACACAGAACCATAGTAATGAAAGTTAACAGGTTGCAATTCAGATTGGCAACAGGATACAGTTTCTCAGTCAGGACAGCTTCTGACACATTTCCCACAAGCATTTCAGCCTTTAGTCTTGCATGTTTTAGGTCAGTGTTACAAAACCCTCTTAGTATCCCCCGGCTGTAGTCCTGCTGCAAGCTTAGGTGAAGGCCCTTGGCTTCATCTCCGTGGGCAGCAGTCCTGAGGTCAGCTCTGTCTCACTCTTGTCAGGTCTCTGATTCTCTGCGGCGGCTGTTCTCCTGTAGGTCTCACTGGTGCAGTAATCTCTCGGCCTGTAGGACGCCCACTGCATTCTCTGCTGCTTTCTGCTGGTGACGACATTCCCAAATGTATGCCTGCTGAGCCCGTTCAATTTAAACCTGGTGGAATGGCAAAACTAACCAATCCTCTGATGAGGAGACTAACAAACTGAAAAGGCAAGAGAGGAAAAAGTCTGGTTAATACTCTTTGCTTCCACTTCTGGGGGATCCATTTCAGGCAGCCATCAGCAGTAAGAACTAAGGGTCTTCACAGCAGACTGGTTGATAAGTGATAAAAATTAGAAATAAGGGAGCTCTGGTGGCCTAGTGGCAAGAATGTGCACTGCAATCCCAGAGGTATGCGGTTCGCAACCACCAGATGCTTTGCTGGAGAAGGAGGAGCAATCTCCTGTACCAGTCAGATCCAGTTTGACGGTACACACAAAAAATAATAAAAATTGGAAATAAATGACTAACAAAAGTCAACTCTTTTAAATGCTTTATGGCAAATCCATTGCTATTCGTTGCCATCTAGTCATGACAAGCCCCTCTGTGCACAGTAGCACTGCTGTTCTACAGGGTTTTGAAGTCTGTGGCTCTTTCAGAAGCAGGTCACCAGGCCAGTCTTTCGAGACAACTGTGGGCAATGATGTCACTAGGGTTAACATCACCTTCCACCCCCAATACTGGTCCATAGCAAAACCTTAGGAATGTTTATTGTCTGTTGTAACCATAGAACAGTAAGTGATGAATGAATACAGCTGTAAGTTGTTTAAATGTAATATGTCTTGTGTTATATAAAGACTAACCAAAACACTCTAGGATTTTTATACATTGAATTGCAATATTATTAGTTACAATTAGTAACCAAGTGAAAGTCTTTTTTTCCCTCTCTCTCCTTTTAACTACTACTTCAGTTCTGAAGTTATTGATAGGAGTTTGCAACTACTAATTACCACAATCTTATAACTGACACACCAGAAAATTTGGCAAAATCAACATCTATAAAAACACTGGCAGCAGCGAAAACAACAGTGCCGGCTTGGGGCGTCTGAGAGGAAACCACATGATCTGAAGCGGCGATGCACTTGGGTAACACTCTCACAAGGGAGCACTAGAGGGTTCACTAAGTTAGCATAGAGTGTCAGCTGGGCTTATGGAGAACGTTTTTATTGTTGTAACCAACTGTTCATTCCTGTTGAGTTGATTCTGACTCAAAGCCATGTGATAGGGCAGCACAGAACTGCCCCATAGAGTTCGTAAGGCTGTAATTTGTTCAGGAGATGGCCAGCTATTTCCCCCACAGAGCAGCTAGTGAGTTTAAACTGTCAACCTTTCAGTTAATCACTGACCACTTAACCACTATGCCACCACTTCTATAACTACAGGGATAATTTTATTTAAAAAAAAAATCCTGCTGTAACATTGCACAGATTTTTTGTAGGCGGTCTTTTTGGTGTTGCCCACTCTGACCATGTCAAACAATATGCTCTGCAACCACATATGACACTACTACCTCTGGACAGTTTTGAACCATCAACTTTTCTGCTCATAGCCAACCACTTAACCATATGCCCATGCAGAGATTTCTGGTATATCCCCACAATGTCCTATTTAGACATCTGTTTTCTAAATTATTGTTTGCTCAGTACCTAAGGAATAGGTAACAGTCCAAGTGAAGTGAACAACGCTACCATAAGGAAGGTGATGGGGGTGGTATGGGGATGTTATGTGTGTGTCTGTACTCACACAGACAAAAGGACACAGTCTGAAATGGAATGCATAAGATATTTAGGATCTTCTTCTTTATCCTTCATACTTTATTCTAGAGAGCCCTGGTAATGCAGTGGGTTAAAGTACAGCTGGTAACTGGGGGGTCTGCAGTTCAAATCTACCAGCGACTTCATGGGAGAAAGACATAGCTGTCAGCTTCCTTAAAGCTCATTGGCCCCAGAGCCTCCAGGGCAGTTGTGCTCCATCCTCTGGGGTCAGTCGGAGGTGGAACTGACTCCATGGTGGGGGCTCAGGATTCTCAGCGCTTCCTGAATTGTCTATAGTGGTTTTCTTTTATAATAAAAAAACAAAACTTTCATATGCATTTTCTGATGATTCACTGACTGGCATCAGGTAAACTTCTGGCTTCTGATGTTCACCCCAAATTAAAACAGCTCTCTATAGCCCAGGCACACTGTCTGTCATGCCTCCACCCCCAACCCACCCCAAGACCATGGTTTCTCTGTTCTTTTTCCACATCCCTTGGTGGCTGAATGGGAAATGATCGCTGTTTCCCCCTCTAATTGTTCTGGGCTCATTTCCACTCTCCTGAGAGAGGTGGAAGTCTTGTATTTTCACCTGCACCCTCACTCATACCATTTGTAGTGCCCATTGGGATGGGTCATGGGAGCAGCCCCAGAAGTTTCGCTTTGTAATAGACAGGCCTGTCAGGTGAACACTGAGCTCTAGTGTCTTAGAGGTAAGGAATCATGCTGCCAGCCCAGAAGTATGTGGTTCAAATCCACCAGCTGGTCCATGGGAGAAAGATGGGCACTTTCCTCCTGTGTGATTTACAGCTTCTGAAAACCCACAGGAGGGTCAGCTGTGGGCCAGTTCCTCCTCGACAGAACACAGCCACAACAACAGTAATTGAGTGAACCATTGCACCAGGGAGGCACTCAATTCTGAGAATAAACAAGCACTCAAGAGCAAAACAGCAGTAGTTACCCAGGGTTAAAGCTCAGGAGGCAGGTAGAGGAAGGGTGGAAGGATGAACGGGAATGAGAATCATGGGGAGGAGGTGGGGAAACTAAGTTTCCACGGTGAGTATTGTAACTGATGTCATAAAACAAAATCTGTATGAATGTTGGGATGGAAAATGCATTTGCTCTGTAATTGTACACTCAAATCACAATGTTTTAAAAAAAGAAATCAGTCAAGTTTCTTTTTCTGTATGAAGCCCACCAACTGTCTCTCTTTGTGCCCCACAGATACGATGCTGCCCAGCATGTCAGTGATTGGAGAGGTCACAGTTTTCTGTGCTGAATCCTTTGTGCAAACTTAAGCGCTGGACAGCAGCACTCAAGGAAACCAAAGCCATTTGTGGAAGAACAAAGCCAAAAGCCTTTATTTTATTCTGAGAAGTTCACAGCCCCATCCCAATTCACACCTGCCCCACCCCCCAAAGAAAATCCAACAAGCCACTGTACCCCGGAGGACGGAATGGCCAGCAAGCGGAAATCTACGACGCCCTGCATGGTCCGGACGTCCCAAGTCGTGGAGCAGGACGTGGCTGGGGAGGGAGACCGCGCCACCCAAGACAAAGCCGTGGGTGCGCCGCAGCCCGAAGTGGCCAGGGACAGCTGGCCGGTGGAGCCCGAGAGCTCTTCCAAAGAAAGCGACGTGCTTGAGGTCAAGGCCACGGGCGAGCCTGCGTGCAGGAAGCTCCAGGGCGGGTACGAGTGCAAGTACTGCCCCTTCTCCACGCAGAACCTGAATGAGTTCACGGAGCACGTGGACCTGCAGCACCCCAACGTCATCCTGAACCCCCTGTACGTGTGCGCCGAGTGCAATTTCACCACCAAAAAGTACGACTCTCTGTCAAGCCACAACACCAAGTTCCACCCAGGGGAGACCAACTTCAAGCTGAAGCTGATCAAACACAACAGCCAGACGGTGCTGGAGCAGTCCATCGAGGCAGCCCCCCACGGGGTCACCGTGGGCCACTCGGGGGCCCCCTGCGCCGACAGCGACCCCGCCATCGCCGTCAGCAAGACCCCCATCATGAAGGCCGCCAAGGCCAAGGCCGAGGCCAAGAAGGGGCCCCGCAAGCCCGAGGAGGCCGCGGCTGAGAACCATGCCGATGGGCCTGCACGCCTGGCGGCCGATGCGGCCGAGCTCCTGTCCCGTCTGGGCGGCGTGGAGCTGCTGCAGGACTCGCTGGGCCACGTCATGCCCTCCGTGCAGCTCCCCCCAAACATCAACCTCGTCCCCAAGGTCCCCGTCCCGCTCAACACCACCAAATACAACGCGGCCCTGGACACCAACGCCACCATGATCAGCTCCTTCAACAAGTTCCCCTACCCGACGCAGGCTGAGCTGTCCTGGCTCACGGCCGCCTCCAAGCACCCGGAGGAGCACATCCGCATCTGGTTCGCCACCCAGCGCCTCAAGCACGGCATCAGCTGGTCCCCCGAGGAGGTGGAGGAGGCCCGCAAGAAGATGTTCAATGGCACCATCCAGCCGGTGCCCCCCACCATCACGGTGCTGCCCGCCCAGCTGGCACCCACCAAGATGCCCCAGCCCATCCTGCAGACGGCGCTGCCCTGCCAGATCCTCGGCCAGACCAGCCTGGTGCTGACGCAGGTCACCAGCGGCTCCACCACCGTCTCCTGCTCCCCCATAGCCCTCGCTGTGGCCGGGGTGACCAACCATGGCCAGAAGAGACCCCTGGTGACGCCCCAGGCTGCCACCGAGCCCAAGCGTCCCCACCTCACACAGGTGCCAGAGCCACCCCCACCCAAGGTGGCCCAGCCGCCCCTGCCCCCGGCCAGCGACCGCAAGAAGACCAAGGAGCAGATCGCCCACCTCAAGGCCAGCTTCCTCCAGAGCCAGTTCCCCGACGACGTGGAGGTCTACAGGCTCATCGAGGTGACCGGCCTGGCCCGGAGCGAGATCAAGAAGTGGTTCAGCGACCACCGGTACCGGTGCCAAAGGGGCATCGTGCACATCACCAGCGAGTCCATTGCCAAAGACCAGATGGCCCTGGCAGCCACCCGGCACGGTCGCACGTACCACGCGTACCCAGACTTTGCCCCACAGAAGTTCAAAGAGAAGACACAGGGCCAGGTGAAAGCCCTGGAGGACAGCTTTTTGCAAAGCTCCTTCCCAAGCCAGGCGGAACTGGAGCGGCTGCGGGTGGAGACGAAGCTGAGCAGGAGGGAGCTTGAGGCCTGGTTCTCCGAGAGGCGCAAGCTCCGCGACAGCATGGAGCAGGCAGTCCTGGATGCCATGGGGCCTGGCAGGAAGGGCCCGGACGCAGCGGCCCCCAACGGGACCCTGCCCCGGCTCGAGCAGCCAGCTGGCACCCTGCTGCCCGCCGCCGTGCCGAGCCCTGTCCCGGCCATCACCAGAAGCCAGGAGCAGGTGCGTCTCCTGCGGGGCACCTTTGTCAGGACCCAGTGGCCCACCCCGCAGGAGTACGACCAGCTCGCGGCCAAGACCGGCCTGGTCCGGACTGAGATCGTGCGCTGGTTCAAGGAGAACAGATGTCTGCTCAAAACCGGCACCCCCAAGTGGATGGAGCAGCCGCAGCCCCAGCAGGCGGTGGACGACCACGGCTATGAGGCCGTCCCCCAGAAAGCCAGCAAGCCCACCATGGCCGAGAGCCCCAGGAGTGGCAGCGAGGCCACGCAGCAGCACCAGGACCACAAAAAGCTCTGCGACGAGGACTTAGAGAAGCTGGGGTCCAAGGTGAAGATGGGTGGCGAGCAAGCCAAAGACTGTCTTGCCGCCAAGGCCCCAGAGGCCGCCTCGGACAAGTCGGAGGGCAGCAGCCGGGATGGCCAGGGCAGTGACGAGCACGAGGAGGCGGGCGTCGTGGACTGGGTGGAGGTGACGGTCGGCGAGGAGGACGCCGGCTCGGAGCGCTCGGATGGCTGGAGTCAGGCCGCCCCCGAGGGCCCAGCAGAGCTGGCCGACTCGGACTCTGACAGTGTGCCCGCCGAGGCCGCCCGGGCCTAGCCAGGTAACTGACTGCCACCCCACGTGGGGAGGAGGCTGGCTTCTCTTCTTATAGTGTGTGTGCTAATCTCACTCTTTGTTGTTGCTGTCAGATCACATGAAGGAACACAGGTGGAGTCCCCCAGGTGATCCCTGGGAGCTAGATAAGCCCGAGGGTCTGCTGAGGGTCAGTTCTAACTCAGCAGCTCGTAGCAACACCAGCAACATTCCTTCCCCCTTAGTCAGTCCCAGCTCATAACAGAAGACCCTCTTCAATGCAGACAGAATGCAGGCTTTTGGGTACAGACTGCCAGGCTTGTCTTCTGAGGAGACCCTGAGTGGGTTTGAACCAACAACCTTTTGCATAATAGTTGAACACCTAACTGTTTACACCACCTCGGAAATCATGGTTTTATTTCTCTTCATTCTCAAAGTAGGTGTGGATTGTACAGAGGTATGATGTTGACTTTGATGATGACATACATTTATTCTTTTTTTAAAAAAAAATCAACCTTGTCATGACAGGAGTCCAGTGCGAAGGCTGTATAGTGGAGTGGACCTGGGGGGAGGGATTATAAAATGATGAAAGAATTTTTCTTTTACTTTTCCAAGAGGGTAGTGTACTAGGGGGGAGGGTTGGGAGGGGAGAAAAGTGCAACAATGAATGAATGGAAATCCAAAGTCTCTGTAAATTTGCATTGAAATTAATAATAAATTTAAAAAAACATAACCACCACCACAACCTTCAGATTAGCAAAGAGCGCTGGACTTTTTTAGTTTGTTTTCTTTAACTGTAGTTTGGATGATAGTTTACAGAGCAAATTGGTTTTCTATTCAGCAGTTTATACCTGCTTGAGGTTGTAACATTTGTTCCAGGGTCCATAACAGGGGCTGGTCCTTGAAAACAGACATTGTGCTTGGGCAAGTGGAGGGTGAGGAAGACTCTCAGTGGGGTAGATTGACACAGTGACTGTGCCAGTGCGTTTGAGCTCGTGGGAGATGGTGAGGATGGCACAGGACAGAGCAAGGTTCAGATCTATTGTTCATCAGGTTGCTGCGTATTGTAGTCAACTCAGATAACAATCATAGCGACGTTGTCAAAAGGAAGACACTGAGGGGCTGGAAGCCGAGCCCCCTGCAGCCTGGGGCACACAGGCTTACAGGCCTGTTCTGTCCAGAATCGAGGTGCAGTTACAGGAACAAGCCCATGCTACCCCCGTTTTGTGGCGGCTCCCTTTAGACGCAAACATGGAAACGGTGCATCCTCCTTTATTTTCTTTTGGACCTTTTTTTAAGAGTAAGCAACCAGGCTGATGGTTAGAAATCTGGAGCTGCTGCTTCTAACTGGAAGGACTTTCGGAGTCCTTGGTCTGTCCCCTGACGCGGCTAAGGGAAGGTGCGCTGTGCCTCATTAAGTAGCTTTGCCAGCAGGCCGCTGGGGTGGCTACGCAGAACCCTCTTGCTCTAGAAGAGACTGGTGTGAATTAGGCCTGTGGAGCCAGGGAAGCCACAGGAAAGGAGGTTGCCATGGTTACTAATGGCCATGTCATCCCCATAATGGGACCTGCCACTGAAGTCTGTGTCTGTGCTTCAGGAGAGGGCTTGCAAATCCAAAGTCAGGACCCAAACACAGCAGCTTGTTTGGGGGTGACTCTAGGAGGGGGTGCAGGATCCTGGAAGGAGGCAGGAGGAAAAGATCTGCATTTGCCTGGGTTGATTTCTCCAGGGGTCGCTTACTCGGTCTCCCACATCCTCTTTCAGAATAATAGGAGAAAGGTTAAAATCGCAAGAATGATTCAGAAGGTCCCAAAGCAGCCCAGGGAAGTGTCCGACCTCTGAGTGAACACAGGCCACCTTGGCTGCCAGGCTGCTCATTCATTCATTCATTCATTCATTTATTCGCTCATTCCCTTAGTGATACAGCACGGCACATAGGAGGAGAGAAACCTCCAGAACCCTGTTGGAAGAAGTGTCATGGGCCTTTCGGTGCCATCCTGGCTTCTTCTCCTTTCACTTTCCCAGGATGTAGTCAAGACACTGCCCAGGAACATGTGGAGCCTGAGGGGGTCTCAGAGTGGCCCCACGTCACCAAAGGCACCAGCTGCCCACCTCCGTGGCCACCTCGGTCATTTCCTGCCTCTGACCACTCTCCCAGCTGCCTCTAATCTAGTCACATCTCCCATGTCAAAATGAGGAACTCATTTGCTTCTCAGATCTGTTATCAAAAACCTCTAGACTGTCCTTTCTTCTACTCTGGTGGTTTTTGATTGAGGATCTAAATCTGAATGGCTGGGTCTTTTACTCCCAGCTCAGAGTAAGCAGTACCAAAACCTGCCACCCTTGATTCCAAGACTGGAAATCTCCATAAGGGGCAGGACATGACAGCTCGGCCTTTTCTTTCTCCCAGTGGGTGGTTGGAAGGCTTGATCTTCCCACCTTTCAAAGAGCAGTCCAACATTTAACCCTCTCTGCCACCAGAGTTGAGACAAACTTAACTCACTGGTGCCAAGTCAGAGCCAGCTAGCTCACAGCTGACCCTCTCTCCCTCCCATGGGTCTTCTGAGGTTGTAAATGGCACAGGAGATTGCCTACCTCCAGAGAGGAGCCCCATTTCGGGCCACAGCACATCTCCCCATGAACTCTATCCCCAGAACTCCCCAAAGTGAACAACAGAAACCCAAATAATCCCCACATCCACTGCCATCAAGTCGCTTCTGACTTGTGGGGACCCTGTAGGACCCAAAAGGATAGAAGAGGACTGTCCCGTAGTGTCCACGGCGGTAACTTTACAGAAGCAAACTGCCCTGTCCTTCTCCTGTGGAATGGCTTCAGTGTTCAAACTGCAGGTCTTTGGGTTCACATCCTAGTGCTTTAAGCACTGTGTCACTGGGGTTCCTAAGTAGATCCTCATTTTTCAGGTCTCCTTGAGTTGGTGTTAACTCGACAGTGACTGGCGTTATAGGGCAGTTGAGCTGCTAGGTGCTAGAGACAATGTGATGAACTAGATCCCGCTTCACATGGAAGTCACAGCCAAAGGTGAGAAAGTGCACTCTTGCACTCTCTTTTACTAACCAGCCTGATATGAGTGTGATGGAAATGCCACAGCCAAGTTCAAAAGCACCTCAAAAGGACACTCAGCTAATTCTGGGGAATCGAAGGAGGCTCCCTGGAGGAACCAGCGTTTGCCTCAAGACCTCTGATGGGGCGGAATGTGGAGGTAAGGATGAGAGAGGTTCAGTCGGAAGGAAGAGCTCAGGTGGAAGTCCAGTGACAGCAGAAGGAACCGGGCAGCCGAGGAATCCAAAGAGGCTTGATGTAGGCAGAAAGGACAGTCTAGGGTCCAACAAATGATAAAAGGCAAATTCAAAGAAAACATGAAGATTTCTCACAGCAGCAAAACACTTCTGAGCCAGCTGTGTGCTGGATTTGAGTGTTAGGATGCTAAGTGTCCTGTACCTCAATGATACTTCTGAGCCCACTGCTGAGTAGAAGAAAAGACCTAGCAAACTGCTTCATTAAAAAAAAAAAAAGGTGGCCTATGAGCCCCCCTGGGGCAAGCTCTCCCTTACCTGTGGAGTCTTTGCGAGTCAGAATTCCCTCAACAGCACACAACAATAACTGGACTGAGAGAGGGGCAAGATGATCTTCTGTTGAAAACCTTCCTGGTGGTCACATCCAAGGTTCTCCAAGCCTTTCATGAACATTTCAACTTAAAAGGAAAAGCTCTCTCTAAATGCAGCTTTCAGGAAGGAACCAAACACACGAGTCCTTGAAATTCATAAATAGTCAGTGATGTCCTTGTTTAAACATATATTTATTTAGAAGCCTGCCAGTTGAGTTCATTCATTGCACATATAATAATCGCAAAAATAATTCATGGTTTTGACTTCACGAAAGTTGTTACATGGTGAGGGCATGAAGAACATGACAGCTGAGGGCTGCTTCCAGGACTGGTTCTGGGGAAAAGGAAGCAGCCCTGAGTAGAGCCCACCTCTATGCTTCAAGCTTTCAAAGCTCTGGAGAAGCCTTGACTTCTGGCAGGGGCACCTCTGCTGAGGTTACACGCCAAGACCAGTAATCTGTGTAGGCCTTTGGGTTTTATTGTCTTGATTACACCTCTGGACTTGAATTATAATCAGAGTACATTGAGAGACACTTCCCAGTAAGAAACTGATAAAGAAGTCCTCCTCAGATAGCCTAGTGGTTAAGGAGTTGTGCTCCCACCCAAAGAAAGGCAGTTCAAATCCTCCAGCTGCATAGATGATAAAGAGAGAGAGAGATGGATGGATGGATGGATGGATGGATGGATGGATGGATGGATGGATGGATGGATGGATAGATAGCAATGTACAGCATCTGAAAAGCCACTAGAAGGTCAGCTATGAGTTTGCTCCATCTCGACAGCAGTGTGTTGTTGAGAGTTATCTTAAGAATGACTCTCTGTACTTGAGCAAGATACTATGATGTCTATCAGACATGCACCTTGAGGGGTGACCTCATTGCTGATACGAGAAGACCTCCCACCTGTTGATACATACCTTGGGCCATCAGTGAGGCATCAAGCCGCCCTTACGAGGTAGAAACGGCTTTGGCCCATTTTACAGCGGGGTCCAGCTAGGTTTAGAGATAATAAATGACTTGCTTCCTGTAGTCTCCAGCCTCCCCCAGTGGTGACACTTCCACTGTGGCCCAGGCCATGGGAAGGCCTCGGTCATTTCCTAATTCTCCTTGAGAGTGGACAGGAGCACATGGCTTTCTCAGTCAGTTGGCGCGGATGGGCTCGCATGCCCTCTGTCCCGGGCACTGTGCCAGCCTGCATGGACTAGTCACATGACCTACACAACCCCTGCCTTTACTCCACGTGGTAAGGACAAGGTGTGCGGACACCAGCCGTGCTCACGAATGCCGCTAGAGCTCAGGGACAGAGGTGTGGCTTTCCTGTCCACTGGCTCCGTGAAAACCCACATGTACAGGCAAGTGGCCCCACTCACGTTAAATGGTGAAAACTGGGGCCCAGGAGG